TATAAAAATCAATAGCAGTCTCTTCTTCTAGCTACAACCAATGTTAAAATGTAATAATAATAGACACATCTATTGTGGTATTTAACTTATTATATTGCGATTATTTGCTTTACATTATATCTCCTTCCCAAGTGTAAAGTTCTGTAAGGGAAGTATTTTATTTATATTTATAACACCAATATCTAGCATATACCTGTGTGTTCAATGAACATTCGCTGAATAAATGATCAATAATCACTGGATTCTTAGTATCATTCACAGATACTTCCACTGGAGAAAAGAATTAAAATTTAGTTGCATATTTTAGGGGCACCTGGTGGCTCAGTTAGTTAAATGTCCAACTTTGGCTCAGGTCATGATTTCATAGTTTGTGGTTTAGAGCCCCACATCAGGCTTTGTGCTGACAGCTCAGAGCCTGGACCCTGCTTTGGATTCTGTGTCTCTGTCTCTCTGCCCCTCCCCCACTCGACTCTGTCTCTCAAAAATAAACATTAATAATTTATTAGTAAATTATTATTAATTAAAATAAAATTTAGTTGCACATTTTAAAAACTATTAAAATAACTTCCCAGATTTTTAGTTATTAAAAAGTCTGAGGCCCAAATGATGAAATGCCATTCTTTACTTTTCACTTTTTCAGACTGATAAAAATGTAAATGTTTGATAAGATATAGTACTGTCAGGGTGAAAGTAAACTCACTGGTGTATTCTTATAACTGCTGAGTGACTGAAGTAAAAGATGGCATAATCTCTTGGGAGAGCAATCTAATAATATCTAATACAATTTAACCTGCCGCAACTAAGCAAGTCTCTATCTTAGAATTTATTCTACAGATATTTTTAAAAATAATTTATTAAATTTTATTTTAGGAAAAGAGAGCATGAACAGGAGAGAGGGGCAGAGAGAGAGAGAGAATCTTAAGCAGGCTCTACGCTCAGCAGAGCCAGACACAGGGCTTGATCTCATGACCCTAAGATCATGACCTGAGCTGAAAGCACGAGTTGGATGCTCAATCAACTGAGCCACCCGTGTGCCCAATTCTACAGATATTTATATATGTACACAAAGCTTGTGTACAAGATTATGTATAATAGCATTGTTAGCAATAGAAAAATGGGACTTAAATTCATCAACAGAGAATTATTTAAATAAATTATGGCACATCCATATGATGAAATCTTATGCAGTTGTTATAAAAATGAGGCCTATGAATGCATATGGACTGATTTCTAGGACGTATTCAGTGGAAAAAGCAGAGTGCTCCCATGTTTGCTTCTTAAGTAAAAATATTTGGAAAAGATACCAGGACAGTATTGTCTCTGGGTATAGGGATAAACAACTGAAAGGACAACCTAATTTTCTCTAGATATCTTTTGGTATTTTATGTATTTGTTTATTGATATTAAAACTGAATTATTTTTTTCCCTAAAGTCCTTCAATAATTCTTAACTAAAAGGTAAGTTTTTAAAAATGAGACTGGCATCACCATTTCTAGAAATTCTCAATTACAGGGTATTTCTCCCTCTAACAATTACTGTTAGGAACAATTCTGCACCCCAAGTCCTTAAAAACTGATGGGTGATGGGGGTGCCTGGGTGGCTCAGTCGGTTAAGTGTCCAACTTCGGCTCAGGTCATGATCTCACAGTTTGTGGGTTTGAGCCCCGCGTTGGGCTCTGTGCTGATAGCTCAGAGACTGGAGCCTGCTTCGGATTCTGTATCTCCCTTTCTCTCTGACCCTCTCCTGTTCATGCTGTTTCTCTCTCTCTCTCAGAAATAAATAAAACATTTTTAAAAAACATTGAAAAAACTGATGGGTGACACAAATATTTTCTAGAACATATTTTACTTAATTTTTTCTTTTTTTTTTTTTTAAATATTTTTATTTTTTATTTCTAGGATAGAGAGAGACAGCGTGAACAGGGGAGGGTCAGAGAGAGAGGGAGCCACGGACTCTGAAACAGGCTCCAGGCTCTGAGCTGGCAGTCAGCACAGAGCCCGACGCAGGGCTCAAACCCACGAACCGCGAGATCATGACCTAAGCGAAAGTCGGACGCTTAACCGACTAAGCCACCCAGGCGCCCCTACTTAATTTTTTCTTAAACATTATACATTATTCAGAGACGTAGGCACTAGGTAAATGCTCTGAAAATTCTATTGTAGTGATCAAAGTAAATGGCTGGTAACAACCTGGCAAATATTTTGCCACTAAGTGCTGCATGGAAATTAATGGTTGGGTTAAATATGATGACTGAACACAGGACAAAAATGACTCAATGGTGTGATTTTTAAAAATTAGTGTATTTTAGGGGCACCTGGGTGGTTTAGTTGGTTAAGCGTCTGATTCTTGATCTCAGCTCAGGTCATGATATCATAGTTCGTGGTTGGGCTCTGCGCTGGCAGTGCAGAGCCTGTTTGGGATTCTTTCTTTCTCACTCTGTCTCTGGCCCTACCTTACTCTCTCTCTCAAAATAAATAAATAAACTTAAAAAAATTAAAAATATATTTTAGATAGCAATAAGCTGCAACCATATAAACAAATCTTTAACAAATTTGCATATCTGAAAAAATCTTTAGTAGTCTCTATATTGTTTCATTATTATGATGATAAAACTTGCTGACTGGAATGAAGAAATGCTAATAATTTAAAACAATAGTTTTTTCTTTTTAAAAAAATTTTTATTTTATTTATTTTTTTTAGATGAAGTTTAGTTGATACTCAATGTTACATTAGTTTCAAGGAATACAATATAGTGATTTGACAACTCTACACTTTACCCTGTGTTCATCAGAAGTGTGGCTACAATCTCTCCTCATATAATACTATTATAATACCATTGACTGGAATCCCTGTGCTCTGCCTTTCATCCTTATGATGTATACATTCCATAACCAGATGCCTGTACCTCCCACTCCTATTCACCTGTTTTACCCATCTGCCCACCAACCTCCATTCTGGCAACCACCTACTTGTTCTCTGAAAACAAAAGAATTTTGGCCTGGCTGCATCCTGTATCCTTATTGTGAATTAATTAAATAAGGACTCTTTCAAGTTTAGAAATTTGAAAATTTATTAAAAGAAAAAGCTCACAAAATGTACGCTTTACTTAATAATTTACTCTAAAAAGGCATAAAACTCCTGTTTTACTGTTTCTGACCATTAAATGAAGCATTAAAAAAGTCACAGAGCACAGTTACGAAAAATGTGAACTTTCCAGTCATACCAGATTTTAAATCCTAGTTCTCTCACTAGCTATGTCATAATGGGAAAGTTACTTCACTCCTCTGAATCTTATTTATTAAAATATAAAATGGGGATAATATAGATTACATGTAGCATCTTATAAGGAAAAAACTGTACATAAAACATTTAGCACAATATGTTACTCATAGTGAGACTTAAATAAAGGGCAGCTCTCACTATTATTATTATTATTATTACTATTATTATTACTGTCCAATTATCTATCAGAGATGGGGGGTAAGATGTACTACAAATCTCTTTTGAGTTTTCCAGATAGAGCTTCATTTATTAGACAAATGCTTATGTACATAGCAATTTTACACACCACTATTTTGCCTTTAAATTTTTTTAAATGTTTATTTATTTTTGAGAGAGAGAGAAACAGAGAGATAGTTTGCAAGCAGGGGAGGGGCAGAGAGGGAGGGAGATAGAATTCGAAGCAGGCTTCAGGTTTTGCGCTGTCAGCACAGAGCCCGACGTGGGGCTTGAACCCGTGAACTCCAAGATCATGACCTGAGCCAAAGTCAGACACTTAACTGACAGAGCCACCAGGTGCCCCATAACCATTTTGCATTTTAATCATTCCTGGAGCAGAGTTTTCTAAAATACTTAACACATTTCATTGCTACCTTAAGAGAAGTCAATGAATATAAAGCAACTTTATTGGTGCCTAGAAATAATAATTCTATCTAGATTATCACATTTTATAGTCCCAATATGCTGAATATAGGTCATACTAAATTTGGAATATTGTATTCGGTTCTGAGCATAGTTAAGAGATGATGCCAGACTGACAGGTACAACAAAAGAATACAACAGGAGACTGAGGAACATGAAAACCACATACATAAAAAACAGATTAAGAAACTATTTCATTCAGAGAAGATCTGAGGTGATAAAATAGTTGCTTTTAAATATTTTAAGAGTGTCATGTGAAAAAGTACATAAATTAATTCTGTATTATACCAGAGGACAAAATTGGGAACAACAAATCTATTAAATTATATAGACTAAACATTAATATGAAGAATTTCTAATACATTATAGCATTTTCAACAAGAATGCATTGTTTTGTGAAGTAATGGGCCCTTTAAACTATATAATCTGTATTCAAATGGTGTTTGCTACTGTCAAGGATGATGGAAAAGTGATTTGTGTCTGGATGGAAAAGTGATTTGTGGCTAGATGGGAGCTTTGACTACATAACTGCCAAGGTTTATTTCAATTTCAAGATTCTATGATCTAAACTAAACAATAAGGTAAATGGGATTATGTATGTAAAATTAAATAAGAACCATTGGTGTTTAAAGATGAACTAAATATGATTTATCAGTCTGTTACTTTTCTTTCAATAAGAAGAAAAATGATAAAAATGTATGAGATATATACAATGGACTTATTTGTACATCAACTTCTCAAATTAATCACTGTATTAATTTGACTTTAAATACAAATACAGAGATTCTCCAAAAAAAATCAATTGGTAATGATTTTAACCTTTTGTAAAAAAATGGAGGACAGTTCACTGTGAACATTTTTAAATTAGAAGAGCTATATTTTCAGATATACTTGCTTCATTTATTTTAAGTTCAGATCAACATTTGAATTTAAATTAAACTCTAAGGCATTTCCTCTTTAATTGACCTTAATTCATATAGAAAGTTATATGTTTGATGTAGAATAGACAAACCCATAAAATCCTTACACACAACAGAAAACTCTGATTAGGAAGAACAAAGTGTGTATGCCATACTAACCAATTAGAAGAACTGTTCCGACGGCCAAACCTCCACCTGGAAGTGGAAAAAAACCAAGAAGAAAATTAATCTAGCTACCTTTTCATATACCTTATCTTTAGCGTAAAAGTTAAGCTTTATCAAGAACTGCTACTTCAGTAACTTTAAAACTGCAGATGAGAACAACATTTTAATTACCTTTGCAATACTTCACTTAAGGTGCTATTATGAAATAATTACATATTATATGTAATTACACACTACACATTACAATTACTTTCATAATATACTCTACTATTCTCCTTTCTTCTGTGATAGGACCATGCAGCATTCAACATAACCGTGGTTACGTGTTCTAGTAATGTTATATTTAGCATTTGTTAATAAATTAACTCAATAGCCAAGACCTAAATGTTCACAGTAACTTAATACTACAGAAGTACAACATACAAAAGAAAGGTTATTGTAATAGAAATTCCACTTTATTATTTACTCTCATACTTAATAAGCCTTGGGGGAAAATAACCCTGGTAATTAAAACTAATTTTTTTCCATTATGAATAACATACACAAAGACTGTGCATACTCTTAAATACATTTTGGATTTAAAATGAACAATACTTTTGTATTTCAAACAAAAAGGTCACAATCACAGCATACATTTTTAATAACAGAGGGAAACGTTCTTTTGAATATCTGAATGAGGGTAATATGATCATGAGCATATAACTCAAATAGAGATTTCATTAAAAATCAATTTTAGGAGACTAGAAGTATACTAAAAAGACATTTGGGTACAAATATCTTGTGCAACATTGGCAAATATATTTATAAAAGTGTAACTATTTGCAATTAATGTTACAAATTATACCAGCAAATTCACTAACAAAGAATAAAATGTGTACTTCAAAGAATGAAATATATTTAAAGTAATTAAAATAGAAACTACTCAACATTGTTGGACAATTGAAGTCAATCCTACATGTGTTTTTTGGTTTTGGTTTTGGTTTTTGGTTTTTTAAAACCAGGGAAGAAGCAGAATACCAAGAAAGAATTCTTCCCCTAACAAATTTTGTAATGTCAAACATTATATAGAACAACTTAATATGAAAAGTTCCTTTGCTAGTGTTTATGTTTTGGCCTTGCAAATATTCGTAAATGTTATTTTTCAAAGAGTGTGAAATTGGTCACATACATGAACATACAATACGATACTTTGGTGACGTAATGACTCCAGATAGAACATTTCAAATTGTTAGAGAAGAAGATTTTAAAAAGAAGAAAGTAGTGATTTATACATTTTTATGTTTAGAAGGATTTGTTATAGGACTAAAATACATTTTAATTTCACATTTAGATATGTTCTTTCATTACAGCATTTGAAGTCATATCAGACTACACAGGATAACTTCAAATCCTGATCTAACTAAAAGATTCACATAAATTGAAATATACAGGATGATAACAACCATAAAGGATCAGAGGGAAAAAAAGATTTTCTGAGATAAGATTAAGCTCAATGTTTACTTTTTATAGCTTGTGCTACATATAGACTTACTACTGATTTTTTGATCCATGTGGGGCATTTTACTTTTCAATTCCTTAATTCTGTACTTTCCCTTACATGCAAAAACAAGCATTTAAATACCTAATCACCATTCTGTGTATATTTAAGATGAACTAATAGAAGTACATAGCAGATACTGCAGTGTCAAGTCTAGAGCAGGTACGATACAAGTTAGCTGCTTTTCTTTCCATAACATTTCTTACAGGAAAGGTTTAGATTTCTTATCTAAACATCCCTGAGTCTACATTCATGTAGCCTCAAAGTAAGAATTTATGTAAGGCCTACAACTGGAATAGTTATAAAGATTTTTTTCATGAATGTTATTCACAGGGGGATGATAAGAGCAGATCAAGGAATAGTTTCCCAAGTAAATGAAGTGATACCTGGCTCTAGTGTCTTGTTTGGAGAGGCATTCACTAAGAGCTGTTACTCTTCTGGCAATTATCTTCTAATTAGAACAAATTATTAAAGATTTATCATTATGTGATAGTGATCACTATAATAGTCAGACTTAAAGAATATTTTCTATTGATGAACTAGTTAAGCAAAGTATTATACAAATGAGTATATACCAAGAAGGCAATTTTCTGTACGAATGATTCAAGTAATCCACTGTTTCTGACAACTCAGGAAGTGCCACTTAATTTAATTTTAAAATCTCACGTACATTAAAATTCTGTTTGGAGAATTTGAACATTACTTAAAACAACATAAAATGATGACATTTTAATGACTTTAACCAGTCATCTTAATATACTATCAGGACTTCTCTTACAAAAAGTGTTTGAGCACCTGAGGGTGGCTTAGTTGGTTAAGCATCCAACTCTTGATTTTGGCTCAGGTCATGACCTCAGGGTCCTGAGATTGAGCCCCGCATTGGGCTCCACCCTAGGCGTGGGACCTGCTCAAGATTCTCTCTCTCTATATCTCTCTCCCCAACTCACGTTTTCTCTAAAATTAAAAAAAAAAGTTTTTTTAAAAAAGGTGATTTTCTTTTTTTCTAAAGGATTCTATTATGTAAATTTACTAGATTCAAATTTGGAGGGCTCAAGTAAAGTTTGGTCATTTTGAAGGTTGGTCATGGGGTATAAAATGAAGCCACCTTACTATTTTAAAAATCAAGCTTTTATTGTGTGTGTATGAGGTGAAAGGATTTGACATGGACATATACACACACATATAGCAGCAAAGTTCCTCTATTCCAAATTTCAGTGTGACCTCACATCTCCTTAAAATGCCTTATTTATATAAGGTATTCTGATATACCTCACTTGATATACTGAGGTTCTGTATTTTTAACTAAAGTAAGTTTGAGCAAGTATGTAGCCATGTATTATCAAAAAATACAAAGCTTAAGCAACCAACCAATGACAGGCCATCTTGACATGCCACAGTGAAACAAAGCTCATTTTAATATATCTTTAAATGCAAACATCCATTAGTAATTTTATTTGAAAAGCAACACAGATTTCACATTAGTAGTTCCCAATTAAAATAGACTATCTTTTCCCAATAGTTCACTAAAATGTTTGACAGGTAAGTAACAGGAAAGGAAGCAATCAACTTATTTCTGTGATGAAACCATCTAGTTTATCTCCTTCTCTCCCTTTTAATCAGATCTTAGAGAAATCATCACATTGAAGTCACTAAGCAAATAAACTCTTGGTTTTACTTATGGATTTCTTTAATAAGTCTATTTAAGTTTATTTCCAGAATACTAAAAATACAGATAGTTTATCAACATATAAGATAATGAGTTTGAAGATTCTTTTAAAGTGTTGATTTCATCAAGGTTTTAAAATTAAAAATTGGTACAGTATTTTGTCTTAAAACTAGGAAAAATCTAATACTTTAGAAAACATTACCAGAAAATTTAAGAACCAATTGACAATTATCTTCCAATATTATGATTTTTAAAATATTTTTCATTCATGTGAATAATTAGCAAATTATTTAAAAGTTTTTAAATTTTTTTTTACAACTTTTTTAAAATGTCTATTTATTTTGATAGCATGTGCACGCATGGGGGAAGAGTAGGAAGATAGATGTCCAAGCAGGCTATGACAGCATGAAGCCCCATGCAGGGCTCATTCCCACCAACCTTGAGATCAAGACCTGAGAAGAAATCAAGAGTCAATGTTTAACTGACCGAGCCACCTAGGCACCCATTACAATTTTTTTTTTTTTTTTAAGTAGGCTCCACGTCCAACATGGAGCTTGAACTCACAACCCTGAGAATAAGAGTAACATGCTCTACCAACTGAGCTAGTCAGGGGCCCCAGAAAATGATTGTAAAGGGAGAAAATTCAATCCCCTACACTTCCTAAAACAAATCTCTAATTAAGATAAAAATTCTTGGTAAGCCAGGTCAAATTAATATATTAGGATGTGAAGGCCCAGAAGTGATACCTCACTTGACAAGGACATCTTCTTTTTCAGTTACAGGAAATAAAAGGGAAAAGAACAAAAAGTCAAGAAAGACAACAATGAGTTGTATCAGTCCTTCCTAGTGCTTTCAATAAAGGAATAGTTTTGTATAAAATTTTAGGTCATTTTAGGGAAAATACAATGTACAAAAAGTTCATATCCCTTCCTTGGTTCATGGTAATGTCCTTGACTACTTAATTAATGCCACACTTCGAATTATATTGCAGTTTATTTCATTAACAAGTCTACTTTTCTTCTCTCACTAAGAGGTAGTAAATATCCTGACAACTCTTGACTGTCACAACTATTAGCTGGGCAAATATGGGAAACAAAATTGAAAAAGGTATTGACAGCAAGAATGGTTCTGTAGTTTAAATTATATGAAACAATTTTATATAACAATACAAAGGAATAAACTACATTTTCCTTAAGTGTACAGATATCAGTTGCTAAACTATCATAACCAGGATTATTTTTAATATATAGTTCAAATCAAAGTACATTCCACACTCTCCATTAAGACACAGTGGTGCAAAGGAAATAAGCCCACCAGTATTTTTACTTTTTGACATTAATGTTAAATATGGCAGCTACTATCAAGCTTCTTTGGGGTATACTTCCTGGACTATCATTTACCCTAAATCCCTATCTTCCATTCACTTAACTGTCAAAACTGAGTAAGTTCCAAACAGTGCATAAGTTAAGCCAGTCAAACCTGAGAAATCACTCTTTCTTCAAGTATCCTTTTGAAGGATGAGGCTGGGGGATAATTCCTCCAGGTTAGACAATATGATCCTAGGATGGGCTATAATTTTTATCCTAGAAAAAATGAAATTCTGCCAGAATTCTTCACCTACTGTAAACTTTTTGGCAATCTCTGGAAGAGGAAAAATGAAATATTTACATATAGTGTCTGCATATAACAACATAAATGTCTTGGAAAGGCAAGGTTGGGAACCTGGGTTAGTGAATCTTAGAATTTGAAGAAATTTCAGTGTAACCAAGTTGGAAAATGTATGTCAATATCTAACAAAATTTAAGTTGTCAGAACAAAAATATTTAATATGATTAGATCACATTTAAAAGATGCTGATACAGGGAATCGTCAAATTTATAAAGCACTTGGGAATATGAATGAAAATATTAGCATATGTTCAAATGACCAACATTCAATTTGCCGTTGTAATATGTTCAAATATATATTTAAATATATTTTGCATCTATGCTTAAAAGTACATTGACATCACAGTGGCAGTAGCAAAGTATCACTGCACTGCATGGCAGTGACCATACAATATTTACTTGTTACCACAGAATACATTTAGGCAATAAATACAATGTTATAGCATGGTCTCACCACTCTGGTATCATAACATCCTACTATCACTATATTTTGTCATAATATGGTTATATTAGACTTGTCACAATCTGAGTCAAATACTATTTTAGAATAACAATATAATCTGAATTACTTACATTAATGTGTATACACATAAGCAGCCAAATCTTTCACATCCAAATAATATTTTAATGAAAAATAAATGTAATGGATTTGCTCTACAGAACTATACAAAATAAAAAAATCAAAATACAAAAATGCCTTTAAGAAATTAACAACTAAAGTACTTCTAGACACAAATTAATATTCCAAATGTACTAACTTCTAACAACCTCTTCAAGTTCTGTGCACTTTGAAAATTAACTATATACATGCAAAATATATTTCAAAATATCCAAAAACTGATACCTCTTCCAATTATCTTAATGAACACCAATTTTTAGCATAGGTTTGTTGCAGTCAAATACCAGGGTCCCCCACAAGCAAATCTGGAAGATTTTTAAATTATAGTTCAAGTTTATATCATTGTAGAAACTCATAAGGAAGGTGTTTTGGGTTGTTTGGTGGTTGCTTTAAGACACATACTTAAACCATTAGTCTTAGGTTTGATAAATGCTTAAAGCCACTTAAAAGAGTTCTTAAAAATTTGAAACAGTTGTAGTATAGTGAACACTAAATTTGAAGCCCAAAGATCAGTCTGGATAGACTGTCTCTAGTTTTCTAACTCTGTTCACATCACTGTATTTGAGTCTGTTTTTAGACCTCAAACATATCACTCAACCTACATGTTTCATAATGTCTTGTCCAGGTTTTTTCTTTTTTTTTGTACACATTATTTTTCTTTCAATCAAGACCTTAATGAAAACCAACTATATGCCAGGAACTGTGCAAAGCATTTTGTTATTCTAATGAGAAACTAAAGGTATAATGTTCAGTAGTGTGACTTTTTTGTTTGAAGAGTTTCAGGATCATGTGAATGAAGTTACAGATCCCACTGAATTAAGAAAAAAAAAAAAAGGCAAGGACTGAAAATAGCTTTCAATTAAGTTCAAATACAGGACGACACCAAGTAAAGCTCACCAGGGAAAAAAGTGAGATAAATATTTGCTAACTAGATATTTTGAATCATTCATTTTTAGTACCATGAAATTGAGGAAGGCAATAGATTTAAAACAATTAAATGAAAAAAGTTAAATTTATGTAGAAATAACCAGGATCCAGGTAAGGAAATGAAATAACAGAGGTAAGAAGCCACGGTCTTTCTCACAGTTGCTTGCCTTGTCAATTTCCTTTGCACTAAACCTACCTGAAAAGTGTAGCTTGAAGGGTAAAAAAGAGACAGAAATGTCAAGTGAAGTACAAGAACCATCAAAGTCATTTGTAATATTTATGAAACTGTACAAGATTTAACTGACACATAGTATAGAAGTTATGAAATACAGATGAATTTTAATGAAGAAACATTCTGATAGGAATTAAGTAATTTACAAGCTCTTAACACAGCAGCTCTGTCCTACCAATCTAATGCAGTCAATCTTTGCAACATAATAGTTATGAAACAAGCTATTCTTCAGCAGCCTTCTCATAAAAAATTACATGGATTATATGTGAAGGCCTAAGAACTAGATTTCTTTTTCTCATTAAAATGTGAATTAATCTTAAACATATCGTTTGGAATTCAACTCTGGGAGGCAAAATATATGGAGAAAAAATTTAACAAAAATGTATATACATATATTTAACGCAGACAATAGTATGACCGTCAATATCAACGACAGGCTTTAATTACTTTGGATCCACGTAATCCTTTAACATCCATTCCCTTTAAGCCAACAGAGTTTGTTTAAAGATTCAGGACATAGCAGCCTGGCGGTGAAAGAAGGTAAGTTACTGTTTTTCAGCTTTTTTTAATGAAGCCCATCTCTCACAATGATGCAAACTTTTGTAGGTTAGGCCAAACCATGCTACCTGGGGTTGACAGAAGGGTGCATCAGAGACCAGTAGGGGATCCTAGAGATGAAAGCCAAGTCGTCTCCAAATATTAATGATTCCCCCCTTCCTAGGCAGCATTTCAAGAAAAAAAAAAAAAAAAAAAAAAGCAAACACCAAAAAAAAAAAAAAAAAGAAAGAAAGAAAGAAAGAAAGGGAAAAAAAAGAAACATGTAGGGATCTCGTCGTAACCTAGAAAAGGCTGGTGGGCCAGAACTGCATTAGAAAGTGGGAGCAGTAATAGCATTTAAAGTTCTCAGCATAACCCTTCCTCCCCTCCATCGCTATCAGACCGGACTATCCTGTCCACGTCCGAAGGCTGACGGGTCAGAGGGAGGTGTAAGGTTAGGGTGGCTTCCCCGACAGGTGCCCTCCCTAAGTTTTCCCTCTGTTGAGCCCAAATTTCCTTTCTGAACCGACCTAAGAGCTGGTCCAGGGCTGGGAGCCCAGTTGACACCAGCAGCTGTCCATTCCGTACCGACGGTCTTGTGCCTGCGATGGAAACCAGTCGAGAATAGCTGCTGTCGGAACCACTGGCTCTAGGACCCCTCCTCTGGAAACTGGTGACGTTGTTCTTGCTGCCTGCCATCACCATAGATCCAGTTCTCCCAACGCCGGTGCCTCAGGTCGCCACTGCCGCCATCTTGGAGCTCTCCGCGTTGACCCAATAGGAACTCTGGGAACTCAAGCAGCGGGCCTGTCAGAGCCAGCCTCAAACTCCCGCCTCCTTACCCACTACCGTGGCTGCCGTGGCCAATAAGATTGAGAGTTCTCTTTCCAGTCAACCAATCACAAGGAGTATTGCTGAAAAGTGAGCTCTACGTGTGGACGGCGGACTTTTCTGGGGTCCAGGTGAGAAAGGCCCACCTGAGTCCTGGGTGAGAGTCTACCGTGGTTCTTTGGGTTAGAGGTGGGTAGTATTCAAAATTTTTCTCGTTTTGAGATTTCACTTTGAGTTAAAAAAAAAAAAAAAAGCTAGTAAAAGAGCAATATATCTAGCAACTACCAGTGGGAAATTGCACCTTTTACTGTTCCTTGATAAAGAGAAAAGAGATTTTCCCTCGCTTCTTCTGATTTCTAAAAGAAAATTCAGACCGCCTTTAACATCAGGATTGAGTTTTACCTTTTTTTTTTTTCTTTTTTCTCGGAATGGTTCCGTTATATTGAAGAAATTGGAACTCTTAATGAGTTGCTTGCTCAGCATCTGGGCTCGGTTCGTCAGTGCCAATGGCAGGGAGGTGGGTCGGATTCAGACCTTAAGGGTAAAACTCTCGAGCTTTGAGGCGATTTGGGTTTCCTGTCTCAAACAGCAAATGACAAAATGTACTTCTCTGACAAGTCCCCGTGAGAAGCTTTCGTTAATTTTAATTAGTGCTTCTGGAAGTCTTGGGGCGCGTTTCCATAAGTAGTGTGAATGACAAGTGTTACTCTGACAACCTTGTTCACACATTTAATTGTCATTTGCTGTTAAGGCAGCTGCAAATAACATAAAATACTTTAGGTCTCTTTCCCCCAAAAAACTGGTGAATATTGGATGTGTATGTGCTTTCTTTTTCTAATGATTTTTGAACTCTGAATTGAGAGCTTTTTTATTAGAATTTTTTTGCTGAAAAAAGATGTGATTTAGAGATGTGTCTTTGGATTTAAAACTTTTCTCAAAACTGACCTGGATAGCAGAGTGATTTTTACAGGTATTCATGACTGACAAATGATTAAACTAAAAAAGACTCCCAAATCATTCCTGCATTACTAAATTACTGATTTTGGCAATGATCTATGATACTTTAAACATATATCCAACCTCATTGAAATTCTTGCCATGGAATTGTTTTAAATCACAGTGACTTGTTAAAACTTTTTGACCTATTCTATTTGATAAATTGCAGTTAGTATTGTGAACTAGTGGCCGGTGGGTTTTGTTTTTGATTTTAAAGTTAAGGGGCGCCTGGGTGGCTTAGTCGCTTAAGCGTCCGACTTTCGCTTAGGTCATGATCTCGCGGTTCGTGGGTTCGAGCCCCGCGTCGGGCTCTGTGCTGACTGCCAGCTCGGAGCCTGGAGCCTATTTCGGAGTCTGTGTCTCCCTCTCTCTCTGACCCTCCCCTGCTCACGCTGTCTCTCTCTCTCTCTCCTAGAAGTGAATGAAACATTTAAAAAATAATAATAATAAAGTTAAATGTTAAGACCATAAAACAAACTACCTTACTCTAACAATATATCAGCTGGAAAGCTTAATCAAGGTTTAGATGCTTTCATTTAGAATCTTTCATCAGTATAAGTTTGTAATATAAATTATTCAATAAATAGCTGTTGAGTGATTGCTTTCTGCTTAGACCTAATATGTCACTTTAGGCCTATTGAAGTAAAAGTGTTAACATTTTGGGGAGATAAGATTAACACGTAGAAAACGGCATAGCAGTTAAGGTGAACACATTGGACAATTGGCGCTAATATTTTCCTGTGGTGAATAAGTACTAAGAAGGCCAAAACAAAAAGGAGCAAAACATTCTGATATCAAATGGAAACTTCTTGGATATTTTTGCTGCTCAGAAAACTTTGAAATACTACTAATATTGAATTTTTATGGGCTTCTTTACTACATATTCCCTGTTTCCTCCTACATATACTTCACCTTTTAGTTTTCTAAAAGCAATGGTATGATGCTTTGTTTATCATATTACTAGAACTGGAAAATTGTTTTTCAACTTTATAATTGGGAAAACATGCCATATGTGTACATAAAGGCATTCTTGAAATGAGGCTGTATCTTTCATATAACATTATCATAGAATAATCTGTCTTAATTTTTTTTATGAAGACAAAACTTTTGCTCCCAAAGCAAACAATGCCAAATACTTTAATTTACCAATAATAAAACATTGGAATAAATGAGGTATATGTGTAAGGGGAGAATTAAAAGAATATATTTAGATGTGGTGTTAATAATGATTAATAACAATTAATAATTACTTATTGAGCACATACTAAATCCCAGGCAGCATGTGAAACATTCAGGTTATAGGAGAAAGAATACTTAGTTTCTTTTCTCCTTGAGATGTAGATGGGGGAGGAAAGTGGGTAAATATAATAGTAAAGTATATTATAAATCCTAGGAGGACAAGTGCAGGATACTTAACTTGGACTGAGAGAGGGGGGCCTTGAGAAGTTTATCCTGAGGAGGAAGTTTAACCTTGTGTGGATGAAGGATGTGTAAGAGATAAAGGCATGATAGACAATAAAAGCCATTACAGAGAATGCAGAGACTTCAATAAATCTGCATCCACTGCTTCTGTTCAGGTTGGTTCTCATGATTTATATAGAGTGCTAAGAAGAGACTGGAGAAGTTAGACAAAAGTCTAATTTTCTTATTGGTTGGGGTTCTTATTTTTTGTAAAAATAATGGGAAATCATTGAAAAATTTTAAGTGGTAACATACTGATTATATTTGATTGTTATGTTTTGTCTAAGAGTATACTAGAAGAGAATGGATTGGGATAAAAAACATGGAGTGAATTAAGAGATTACTCTGAGGAGTAGAATAGCTGTGACCAAGGAAAGTTGACAGGAGGAATCAAAGATTCAGGTTTCTGCCTTGAATAGGTTTGTAAATGGCAGAGGATCAAGAATAAAGGAGAACAGCAGGATTTTGTAGTTCTGATGTTAGGTGTTTTATAAAATGGAAGATCATAAAATGAGTTTTTAAATCTGTTTTGAATATGTTAAAATTTTTTTAATGTTTATTGATTTTTGAGAGAGAGTCTAAGCACGAGTGGAGAAGGACAGAGACCAAGAGGGAGAGAGGGAGACACAGAATCTGGAACCCACTCAAGGCTCTGAGAGCTGTCAGCACAGAGCCCATGGGTTCGAACTCGGGAACTGTGAGATCATGACTTGAGCCAGAGTCGGATGCTTAACCTACTGAGCCACCCAGGCACCCCTGTTTTGAATATGTTTAATTGGAGGTACCCTTGTAGCATCCAAGTAGAGATGTCCAATACACAGTGGATTATGTGACAAAGGGACTTCTAGATGAAACATATAGTTTTGAAATTAATTAGCACATGGTGGGAATTTACCCCAAGAGAATGGATAAACTCACCAAGGATATACATACTTTAAAATGAGAAGAGAAAAGAACCAAGAATAAACTGTGGAATGTGAACATTTAAAAACCTGGGCAAAGGAACAGAAAGTAAAATAAGAGTTGGAAAGTGTTTATTTGATTTAGTAATAATGTTTCTCAGGTTTCATTAAAGGAAGATTTGATGGAGTAGTAAACTGAAAAGTAAAGTAATTATATTTAGAATTGAATGGCAAATGAAGTTGAATATTCTATAAAAGTAGACCATTTTAAATTTTAGAAAGCTTTCCTTGAATGGAGATAGAGGGAGATGACAAGGGTTTAGGGGGGAATTTTGTTAAAGAGAGAAAGAAAATAGGCACTGGAAAATAATTCTAGACAACTGATAAAGCAAAGGACCTGAATGAGATGGAAGGTATGGGAATCATAGCATAGGAGAAGGATCAGTATTTGAAAGGAGGGGGTCAATTCAGTGGCTAAAGTGTGTAAATGAAAAGAAGCTCCTTTCCCTCCTTTCTGCCATTAAGTCTTGGAGTTCTTAAGACTATTTTGACTTATTATTCCATATTCTTACTTTTATCCACTCCCAGGACCTTAGTTACCATTTATATATTAATGACTACCATAAATAGTCCAGATCACTTCTCTGACCTCCAGAATTATAAATTCAGATATTTACTTTACCTGTTTCTTGAAAATCTTAGTGGGGACCTAAAACTCATAATGCCCAAGGATGAATTTTTTCTTGTGTTTTGTATCTCTAAATGATAGGACCATTTGCAGAACTAGTTGCCTAAGACAAGTAACCTCACTTATACTCAGGTCCTCTTATTTTTTTTAATGTTTATTTATTTTGAGAGAGAGAGAGAGCGAGCAAACAGGGGAGGGCAAAAGAGAGAGAGGGACAGACAGACAGAGAATCCCAAGCAGGCTCTGCAGTGTCATTGCCTGATGGGAGCTGAAATTCAGAAACCATGTGATCATGACCTGAGCCGAAATCAAGAGTCTGACGCTTAACTGACTGAGCCACCCAGGTGCCCCACTCAGGTCCTCTTTCAAACATCATGCTGCCATATCCATTACATTGCCAAGACCTATGGAGTTTACTTCTTCACAGCTTTCTAATCCATTCTGGGTCATATAGCCCTTATCTTGGTTCGCCTTCACTCAAGAGCTATCCTAATCCTGTCAAAATAGAAGACCAATAATATAAAAATAATATTAAGCACCTCCATGTAATTCCCTCTACTTGCCTTTTTAGCCACATCGTTCTGTAAATTTCCTTACTGTCTGTACTCTAGCATTTATTCATTCTCCTGTACTTTGCAAGTTCTCTTCCTCATAAAGCCCACTAGTTAATTTCTACTTATCCTTCAAATCTTACTTCAACCTATAGATTCTCATTAAAGCCATCTCTCCTTGATACCAAAATGAAATTAACTCCTATATACCAACAATGAATGAGTGGAATTGGAAATTGAAAACACAATCTAATTTACACTAAAAAAATTAAAGTATTTAAGAATAAATCTAAAAACGATATTTATAAGGTCTATATGAGGAAAACTGTAAAACTGATGAATAAAAAAACTAAATAAATGGAGAGATATTCCATGTTTATGGATATGAAATTCAATGTCAAGATGTCAGTTCTTCCCAGATCTCTAGATTCAATGCAATCCCAATTAAAATCACAGCAAGTTATTTTATGAATATTGACAAGCTGATGTTAAAGTTTATAGGAAGAGACAAAAGACCAAGGATAGCAAACACAAAATTAGAGGATTGAAACCACAACTTCAAGATTAACTACAAAGCCACAGTAATGAAGA